ACCTATTACAGAATCCAACTAAAGGCAATATTATATTTCACCGATGCACTCAGCCCAGGGCGACTTTGATTCCGATGATTCCGACCGAGATCCGCATTTCGTTCCTGATGTGCAAAGTAAAACTTATAGTTTGCTTCGAGGTCTAACAATAAAATAATCAAGTAGCTCTTCTTCAAGAAGCTCTTCATCGAGTAGCTCTTCATCAAGTAGCTCGGATGATAGAGTGGTGGATAATTTAAGTCCTTTTGCTGGAACTACTGTGTTAACTAATGAATTAAATGGTTCTTTGGAAGACTAAAACAATAATACTAAGGGCGAAACAAGGAAACGTAATATTGAAACCTGGAAACACAATGTAGCCAACTGGCAGAGCATATGAATCTTTTGTCACACGTCAGTTTTCCTTAAGGCCATAAGTCATGGTGTTAAGTCCAATCTGCTGCGATGTCTTTAGTGGTATCAGTTTCGTTTAAGACTTAGGAAAGTGCACCCTAAAAAGTTTTTCTCTATTTTGAGTGTATTTACCTGGACTTTTTTGAGTTATGGATACTTATCTGAGGGTCCTTTGAGAGTCTGCAGTCTGTTATATCTTCTCGCAATGGCTTTTCTACGATTTTCTTTTTGCCCTTCTGTTGATTATTATATTAAGTCAGAGCTTCGCGATAATCGTCCCACTCACCTGATCTTTTGTCCCAATTAAATGTTTGTATGTCTTCTGCCCTTTGATTTGCGAGGTTGTTATTTCACTAGGATACTTTCCTGTTGGAATTTCTTTCTCACTGTCCACGGAAAATTGTCTTTGAACACCAGTGTATTGTTTCTTTAACCCTACCTAAACAATATTCCAGGCCTGCTTGATATACTTTCAGATTTGTTTTACGTGAATTACGATAAGTTTCAGTGATAGACTCATTGCCTGTTATTTCAAAACAACGTGTCGATAGTCTGTACAATGCCCCAGGCACCCTTAGGCTTTCGTTCAATATTTTACCAATCTCCTTCAAGGGTGGTACTTCAAGAGTTCAAAAGATCTTCTGCATACTTCATCCCTCTATGATCTTTATCTTTACCGTCGTCGAATTCCTAGAAAATATGTTCTTTAATGTCGTAGTGTCTGTATGTTCTTTATGTAGTGTCGTAGTGTTTTGATTCGTTGTTCGACTATTATATAATTCCTCGAGACTTTGGCAGATCGGCTATATATGAGCTCTGCACGAATACCCGATAGACCTCTCATTTGGCTATTGTAATAGTATCGATTCTATATAGGACTTTAATCCAAATGGTAACTGTTACCAAAAGTTTGAAGGCGTAACGTTTGTGATTACTTTTATTTCAGGTCTATGATGTATTTTTATTGGAGCCGTTTTACCTATGCCGGATATTTTTTGAAGAATCCAACCATTCTGGAACCTATGCTTTTTCAGCTCCAGACTTTATTACATTACGATAAATGGTGTTTAATTTCAATATAAGAGTATCTAGTTTTTTTTCTACAAATTTGCACTTTGAAATATTTTTTTAAGAAATAGCTTTTGTAGCTTTATATACCATTTATTTTTGTATTTGTTTAATAGAGGAAGGAGCGGGATGTAGGCTTGTGTTGTAGGGGTAGTACGTTTTATCAGAACGGCACCTTCGTGTATCATAGACTCTTCATAAGACACCCAACTCTCACAAATGGCTCCACTTATTAGTCTGTAGGCTAAACTAAGTGACGGTAGCCATATATGGTGAAATTACTGAACAACCATCTGTATAAATGGTCTCCTTTAAATCTATCAACAGCTTTCTTGAGAAAGTGGAAGAGTGTTCTGAAGTAGGTATTCTGTTGAGTGCTGAGTGGAAAATTAACCCTTTCGCTCACGGCGTCCACAAATGTGGACATACATTTCTAAGCGCTCAGTTATACGAAATTTTAATAATATCACTGTTTGCTCATGTTGTCTACGTTAGGGGAATTCTAAAATTTAGAATTTTTATATTCCTTATTCATGCGCTAGACCCCATCTGTTAGCAAGTAGAAGAAACAATCGGAAAAGTTTCTGGCCACTGCAGACATCTATACTGCGCAAAGAACAGTAATTTATTTTTAGACTATATGACTTACCTATACTTATAAAAATTATTTATATATTTGGAAAGGTGCATTTTTGTGGAATACGCAGTCTCCAGTGAAATAAATTGATATTTGATTTGTATTCTTACTGAAAAGTGACGTCCTCACTTGTGGACTGTGTGAGTAAACGGATTCTTCTAGAGTAGGTAAATATAAACTAGTACATTCATAGTACTTGTTGAAATAAACATATTTGTAATATTTTACAAGGTAAAAATATTTATTTTGAAGTAATATAAACAACTAATAATTATTTATTTTCAGTAGAAACTGAAGAAGAAGACTTACAAACAGAAATGTAGGTCCAAATGAACCTAATATTGAAGATGAACCTCTCGCAGTAGAAGTGAAGCCTTGTGGTCGCTGCAGGACCAAGCACTTCTCGGACATTTTCTGAAGGTAAGATCAGAGTTCATGATTACCTAATAAATAATCATCTCACCCCTAAGAATGATATCAAATGGCGTACCAAAGTGAGATATCTCACTCCACCCATCCAGTGGTTTGCAGAAGATGCAACGCCAGTTGTAGACTTGGAGAGCCCTTATACTATCTTCTACAAGTACTTTACAAGAGATTTAATTGCACGTATGGCAGAGTTTACGAACCTGTATGCTGTACAGAACCAAATACGATTTTTCCCAACGTACGACTTTAGAGCAAATGCAAATTTTCGTTGGTATACATATACTTATGGGAAATTTACATTATCCTAGAATCCAATTTTATTGGGATGCAAAATTATGAGTGCCCAAAATTGCTGAGAATATGTCTATAATAGATTTTACTCATTGAGGCAAACTTTACATTTTGTGGATACAATGGATGACGTTGAGCATCAGGACAGGTTTTGGAAAGTTCGTCCATTGTAGGAAACAATACGCGTCCGTTTGCTGTCACTTCCATCGGAGACAAATCTGTCAATTGATGAACAAATAGTGCCGTTTAAAGGATCACTCAATGTGAACCAATATATAAATGACAAATCAAATGCATGAAGAATAAAAATATTTGCAATTTGCGGTGCAAGTGGACAGATGTTCGATTTTATAATTTCTCAGGGAGCTAAAACGGAATTGGATCAAACACAAATGACAGTTTTTGGGCAAGGCGCAGCTGTCGTTTTGAAGCTGTGTGATCACGTCACAGAGGATAATTACAAAGTCTATTTTGATAATTATTTCTCCAGTTATTGGTTGTTACAAACATTGCGCCAAAAAAATATCTTTGCCATTTTTACTGCACGACAAAATATATTGAGTAGCCCTAGCTTCTCTGCTGATAAAATAATGAAAAACCATAAACGTGGTACTACAGAAAAAATAATATAATATGTAGAGGTAATTATGACAAAGTGGTTTGATAACAAACCTGTAATAATGGCATAAAATTATATAGCAATTGGGATGATCGGCAAGTGTAAATGAGGGGACAAAACAAACAAGACCTATATAGAAATAAATAGGGCACAGGTAATAAAGGATTACAATTTGTCAATGGGAGGTGTTGAAAAATTCAATTTCTTACTAACATTGTACAGGACCTTTATTAGGTCACGCAACTGGACGTTGCGAATGTTCACACATGGTATAGATTTAGCCTGTAGGAATGCATGGCTAGAATATAGCAGGCAAGCAACAAATTTGCAAATACCAAAGCAAAGAATCTTAGATTTGGTGCAGTTTCGCGCAGAAATTGCTGAAGTTCTTTAAGCTATAGAAAAAACAGTCAATAAAAAAGAGAACGATCACTTTCGATAAGGCCTGGACCTAAAACACCTATAAGAACTATAACATTAAAGTAAGACCAGTGAAGGAAGTAATATTGGACAATGTAGGACATTTACCTACTGTTGATAAATCGAAAAATGTAAGGGAAAAAGTCGTACATCTTGCCTCAAATGCAAAGTTTATTTATGTTTGACCAATATTAACAATTTTATTGTTTTATTTATTACCACAGTATATAAATTATGTATAATAAATATTATAATATAATATTATAATATAATATTATATAATATAATAATAAATCTTGAATAAATTCAAATAACCAATATTCAAAATGTCAAATTTTTAGGCCGAGTTAAAAAAAATCATGAGCGAAATGGTTAACTCGAAAAGCGGAAGAACCAAGAAGGTCAACGGCATTAGGATCTTTAATGGTCCTTTATGGATATCTTAAGAAAATCGCTTATCATGGATCATCAATGAACAATCCCCCTGAGTACCGGCGCTTCTTAAATGAAGCAGGAGTAAGATGAATCTCCGGACTTGCTATAATGAAAAAATTAATAAAAATTCGAACATGGAATAATGGAAGATCTCTAAGAGCAGAAAAGGTCCATAATGTAATTCGGGCAAATACTATTGAAATATTAGGACTGAGCTAAGTAAGATGACCCTGTACAGGAAGACTTGAAATTGATGACCGTGTTATCTGCTTCTCTGGAGGAGAAAATAATTGTCCTCGACAATATGGCATCGCATTTATCATACATAATAACATTGATAAATCTCTAGAAAACTTTAACCCTTACTTCGAAAGGATAGGACTACTATAACTTAAAGGTAAAAACACTATGCTCAATCTTATACAAGAACATGCACCCACAGCAGACAAAAAAGATAATAAGGTAAAAGAATTTTATGGTGGAATAACGAACATCACAAAAAGCCTCAAGTAACACCACATCAATATTATATTAGGCGATTAGAGAACATTTTGATGTAGAGATCGCAAACTTACAGTAATGGCGTGCACCAGAAAAAGAAAAGAGCGTTGCTGTTAAAATAAACAGCGAGAGGAAAAAAAATAAATTTTGTAAACATTTACAAAATATAAACGCAAAAGATTATTTATAAAATGAAGAATACATTTCAGATAGTAACAATTTTATAACAAAATATTTTATTAACTTTTAAGATTTTTTATACACAATAGAAAAATTCGTTGTTTACAAAACATTATTTTTTTTAGTAATAAATTTGTTTATCTTCGTTATCGTTATCTTCTAAAAGTAGGATCTCCCTGCTGCTTCCGACGTTCTTGGATAACAGTGAATTAGAGCGTCACCGTGATATCCTGAAGGACACGTGCACACAGCAAGATGTCGTCGGGCATTACAATTAGCGTTCACACCACATTGGTTGATGCAAGGATTTTGACACCTAAATTATAAAAATAACATTTTAGTTGGTTGAAAAAATAGCCTAATGCACATATTAAACGTATAATTGTTTGTGCTTGCAATAAATAAATACGTTAATATAATAAGTTCTATTATTCAAACAGAAATAAGTCTTAAAACTTAAAAAAATAAATAAATAAGTCACTCAAAGTAAAAGCAACAATAAATATTTGAAAATAAAAAATGATAGTATCTCATAAAATATACCGGTTGTTAAATATTTAGACAGTATCTCATCAGTAAAAACGTATGCTCAACAATTGTCCAAAAAAGAAAAGCAACTTAGCAGAAGCAATTAAAAAAAAAATGATTTTTTTTGTCCACAAAAGTAAACGAACCAGCAAACTAAAAAATAACCCAAATAAATGTAAGCGTCTATATATTTTAGATATGTATAAGTTAAGATCTTTCTTAGATGCAATTTTTATTATCAGATAAATAGTCGAAAATCTATTGAATATAGTTGCCTTCATGTGCTTCTTTCTCCTTACACGAGCCTTTGATAGTGTAAGGCTTGCCGATGTTCTTTAACTATTAAAGGAATGAAACTTAAAAACCAAGAAATAATTTAAATTATTCGCCAATTAAACATAGAAAACAGCACTATCATAAGAGCAAACAATAAACTATCCAACAAGATACCAATCTCAATAGGAATTAGACAAGAGGATAGTCTCAGCCCAGCCCTCTTTAACGTTCTTATGGTTTATATCTGCATAGCATAGTGAAATCTGCATAGCAGATTTAAAATAGTAGCAAAACAATTATATGTAGTTATCTCGGTCCAGAATTTCTATCATCAGATGCTAATTGTTTTCTACAATATTTTACGGAGTAGAGGCATGGACGCTCTCGAAAGCTTCTATAGGAAAGCTCGAGGCTTTCGAAATGTGGTGTTACAGGCGCATCTAACGAATTTCATGGGTGGATCGTGTGACTAATATTGAGGTCCTACGTAGAATGAGCAAGGAATGCACAAATTAGAATATCTTGGCCATGTTATGAGAAGTGAACAGAGATATTACGGCTTATTGCAACTTATTCTTCAGGGCATGGTACTTGGAAAGAAAGGACCAGGGAGAAGAATAGCTTGGCTTTAAAACCTTAGGAAGTGGTTCAATAGGTCTACAACCAGACTATTCCGAATAGCTGTAAGTAAAGTTAGGATACCTATTAAGGATACCTAAACGCAATTAATAATAAAAGCATGAAGCAAATCACGTTCTTTAAATATCTAGACAATAATATTACAAATCTAAAACAAACACAAGCGATAACAAGGGCTAGGGTACAACACACTTTTAAAAAATTTACAAAACCTGTCTCAGACACAGAAACACGAGCAGGAACAATCGCTAGTAAGCAACTAACAAGAATGACAGAAATGAAGACTCATTATTGAAGATTAATTATTGGCAAAACAGTTAGAGATAGAGTTGGAAGCAGCGATATCAGGATCTTGTGGGACATCCAAGACGTTGTAAAATGGTCAAGAGTCAGAAACACAGCATGAAGAGATCATAGAATGTGAATAGATAATATATTTGAAAATATTGCAAAATAAGAAAAACCAAACACCATCAGATACCCGGAATATCCGCCAAACGCTGGTATGAAAGTTTTACATTGGAATCATCGGAAAAAGCTACAACTTTAAAAAAACAAAACATTGTTTTAAAATAAAAAAACTCGAAGTAAGATCAGAAATGAGTCATACTAATGGGTGAATATTAAGTTTAAAAAAGTTAAGACTTTCTGAAAATGAGCTGCTAAGGTAAAAACGTATATCCTATATAAACATAAAAAAATACCAAGAAAATTGATTATGCTGAACGTAATTTGCTTATTCAACTCAAAATATGTTCAAGGAGTATGACTCAATTAGTTATAACATGGCAGTTTCCTTTTAAATACTGATCAATGTGTCGCTTATTTTTGTTTTTATTATTGCATATTTATATTTAGGTTCTTTTTGTTTTGTAATACTGGCTTTTATTTAACGATATTCATATATTTGTTTCCTTCTGTCTTTATGTTCATTTTTAAGACATGCCAATAAATTACCATTTGGCAAAACCCGAGATACACATTGCGTACAAGAAACGACTTGGAATTCTTATTCACAGGGCGACATTATTGTTGGTGTTTTAAGTTTGACATTTGTCCTTAGCTAATACGGGTACGCTGATTCTGAATATGAATTCGGTTTAAGTCCATCTCGTCAAAATTTTTCAGAAAATTAAAAAAACCTTGTAAGATGTTGTGTACTAGCGCAAACAAATACCTTATTGATATTTCGTAAATTGCATTAAAATTATTCGATAAAAAATATTTTAATACATTATTATGTTAATTTTATTTAAATGGCAACACTGCCCATCACGTCAAAATTTTTCACAAAATTGTAAAAACCTTGTGAGATATTAGAAACTTGCGCAAACAAATACCTTATTGATATTTCGTAAATTGCATTAAAATTATTTCTTTAAAATACTCATATTTGGAAAGAAAATATTTTAACACATGTTAATTTCATTTGAATGGCAATACTGAATGAATGGCAGTTGTGTATCGTAAATAGAGTTAGTTAGCGTTAGTTGTTTGTAGCAACGAGTTGTATTTTGTTTTATGAGTGTTTATCGCGCCATAATATCATCAAGAAAGTGGAAGAACAGTCCTGATATATTTTGTTACATGTGTGGTTATTTAATCATAGGAAAGTATCAACAAAACATAACAGACTGTATAAAGAAAGCTCATCACGTTTACTTCGGTGTTAAGCTTGGTAATTAGAACAAACCTTAGACTCCACAAAGTGCGCTTTCAGTATGTCGAACTACTGCGAAAATGGACAAAAGGTACACGTAACTCTCTATTCTGCGATATTAAGAGTTTCAATTCAAAAAATTAACACAAAATTCAATATCCTGATTTACCTTCTGCTAAACGACCTGTATCTCATGGACCAGGAATCCCTACTCCTCCACCTTTTCTTCACACTATCCGACAGCAATCATCAGATGAATGTTCAGACGAAAACACCGATAAAGACGAATTCAATCCTGAATGACAACCTCAAAAGTTTATCCAAGCTGAACTAAATGATTTAGTGAGAGCCTTTGGCCTATCGAAAGATGCTGCACAAATCTTAGGATCACGACTGAACGATAAAAATCTATTAGCTCCAGGTACCATATTTTCGTGGTATAGACATTGTGAAAAAAAATTCGCGGAATATTTTTCTCAAGAGGACTCACTTGCATATAAAACCGTCTATATATGTAAATAATACCAAACTGTCTATAGTTGATAAATAATTTACCTGGACAGAGCAATTAAATTGTAACGCAGACAGTCACGGCGAAATTAGATCTAGGATAGAGCAGGTTAGAGCTTCTTTTAGAAGGATGTCCAAGGTGTTCTGTAACGGAGACCTAAATTGGCATTGCGGATCCGCCCACTTCGCAGCTACGTGTTCTCGGTCTTACTTTATGGTGTCGAGTCCTGAACTGTGAATACAATCGATGTAAATCGCCTTGAGGCTTTCGAAATGTGGTGCTATAGAAGAATTTTAAAAGTTTCCTGAGTGGAGAAGATTCGAAACTGCACAATACTAGAACGTCTCAGCAAGACTACTGAAATCATAAAAAGCATCAATCAGGGAAAGCTGGAGTAATTCGAACATGTAATGAGAGGTCCCAAATATAGGTTGCTGCAAAATATCATGCAAGTAAAATAGCAGGCAAACGCAGTCCTAGACGAAGAAGAACCGCATGGTTGAAGAACTTGCGAAATTGGTATGGTGTTGATACAAGTATGCTATTTAGGGTAGGGGCAGTGAATAAAATTAAGATAGCTATGATGGTAACCAACATTCTGAAAGGACATGGTACACGAAGAAGAAGAAGAGGGCTCACTGGTGTATTGTCATAATATTTCTGAATTAGTCATAAAACTGGGAGCTGACAATTACCATTCCACATCATGGCGGTTATTTATTGATTCTTCTAAGAGAAGTCTGAAGAGTGTCTTGTTGCACAATGGTAATACTTATGCCTCAGTGCCAGTTGCTCACTCCGTGAATCTCAAAGAAACATATGAGAACCTTGAGCTGTTTCTAAATAAAATAAAGTATAGCGAATATTGTTGACAACTCTGTGGAGATTTCAAAATAATATCCATGCTTCTGGGTCAGCAGTCTGAATTCACAAAATATTCATGTTTTTTGTGCGAGTTGGACAGTCGAGCACGAAATTTACATTAAGTTAAGAAATAGTGACCAAAATCCATAAGGAAACTAAGTTCCTGTAGCTGGCTGTATACTATGTATCACAAAAAATTTATTAAAATTCTTTTTAAAAGGTATATAATTAAAAAACTCAATCGGGCTATATCACAACAAAACGTTTTCGGAATCCATATTCCATCATCAGTGTCCTAAAAGTATATAACCACTTTAATTAAAGAGAACGTGAAACTTAAATTTTGACCAAGGTTAATACAAAATGTGGTTAATACTTACTAGGTGTACATGTTTTGAGCCACTAAATATTTGGACTAAATATATTTTAGCCACTAAATATACTTTTAGGACACTGATGATGGAATATGGATTTCGAAAACGTTTTGTTTTGATATAGCCCGATTGGGTTCTTTAAATACACCTTTTATAAAGGATTTTAATAAAATAGGGATCACTTAGAGAAAGACTTGTACCGGGACAAAAAATGTGCAACGTAATTTACTAGTTGACCCAAAACTAGTTCTTTTGCATATTCTTAATATAAAGTTAGGATTGATGAAGCAGTTTGTCAAAGCTTTAGATAAACAAGGTGACTGCTTTAAATATCGTGCGACAAATTTCCTGCACTTTCTGAAGCTAAACTTAAAGAAGGAATTTTTGTAGGCCCTCAAATTCGAACCTTAAATCGGACAGATTGTTCCAGAATACAATGACCCAGGATGAATCTGAAGCATGGA